TTGCATAACACTCCGTAGAATATGTAATTAATTCGACGTGTAACATCTTATTATTAATTAAAATCGTTAAGAGTAAACTCCAACGATCACTAATCGGCTACTGTTTAAAACATTTCTCAAGTTTATTATTACGTAAAATACGTAGATTCATCTTCTTAATTACTGTGGTTAAAATTGTATCTTGCGTATTTGGTACCATTACATTATGTGGCGCTATTTTAGTATACTATCAGTTTGATTAAAATATTGTTTTTTGTGGAAAAATATGTAGAAGTCATTATTACAGTAGATGTGTAGGATGTAATTGTGCTACGGTTAATTTTCGGAATAATTAAAATTCAATAAATATTATTAGATTTTAACGAGGCAATGAAGTGAAAAATGATATGTTAGGTACGAGTACGACTAAAAAAGAATACAAAACGAACACATGCTGTACGCTACTAATGGTATAACTTATTATTTATAGTGAAAAAGCATATCTGCTCCAGTGATAATGATTACAGCCACACCTAATATAATCAGAGGCGGTCATAGTGTTGTGAAAGTCGAACCCCGCATTTTCGCCAGTTTTATAAAAATCGAAATACATCAGCAACACACGAACATCGCCATGCGATAATTACGGGCCCGAAAACTAATTTTGAACTGTAATAAATTTCAATTTTATTGTCAACATTTGCCCGCGCAACTTTCCAAAAAATCGGATATAATTTGCTATAATTTTCATTGTATAATTTATCGATATATTGTCGTAATCGGTTCGCAAATTATTTCTTTTCAGTTTTTAAAGGCTATAAATTATTAAGTAATTTTTAAGCGAGAAAATTCCCATGAAATGGGTTTTAATCGTATGGTATTATTAATAAGTCATTCAATAATTGGAATTGTTAAATTTTTTCCGATGATTGATGATGGTTTATTAATGGATTAAATGACTATAACTTCACTAATTTATTAATTAATCAGGAGAATTAAGTAGGTACTTGACTTTAGATTAGTAATTAATGTTTTGTTTTGTAGTATAATAATTTATAAACATACATATGCATTACCAACACTTTCTCACGTATTATAACAGCGAATTTCTGCAACAATAATTCATAAATTCCGTAAAACATAAATCTTCAAGTAATCCGGGTATTTTTTGTAGAATTAACACAAACATGTTACTTGAAATAACCGTTAGTCAGTTTTTATTTTCAATTAGATATTTTATTTAGATAACTTCCTAATATTTGGCGTAAACGAACTTTCGAATTCGACAAAATTTGATTCAACGCCAAGGTCTGTTTTTATTATTCATTAAATAAACCGATTGACACAAGACAAAATCACTAATGTGAATTATCTAAAGAGGACATCTAATCAAATCGATACGATCATTAATTTAATAGATTGTATTTTCCGATATTAAAAATATAAATATCGCTTACATAATTAAGCTTTAGTTTGGCTAAAAATCGTATTTTTTTCTCATAAGGTAATGCAATCAAAAGGTCAAATGACCTATCACATGCGTTTGAAACGTGGGCGATTATTAACATATAACGGAAGATTTTACTAACACCTCGGCTTTCATATTAATTATTTTTATATATCTATTAAGTTTTTTCAGTAAAAATCTACAGTTTAATAGCGAATGACAAAATAAATTAAATTGTAACTTTTATAATTATTGTCATGCAAATTGTTTACTCGCGCAAAAGTGTATTATATAGTTTTTTTTTCGAACCTCAAAAGCTCTTATCCAAACTATTCAAGTGTTTAAATTTAAGCGATGTCTATATTCAATAAAAATTAACTTCTGTTTGCTTTAATCGCGACTGCTAATATAAAAAAAACGTTATTATAGATAAATGATGTATTGCATTCTATTCTGCATATATTATTCCCCGTTTAATTACTACAATAATTACAATTTCTATACCTGCCTAAGTACCGCGTTGAATAAGAGTCCCTACAGGCATGTAATAAAAATAAAACGAAAACGAAAAACAATCCCACATTTCAATATTTGTTATCAGTAAAATATGCTCTGATTAATGAAACCTTTCAACGAGACTGCATCATTAGCCGGTTCGGGATCAGAATCATCATCAACGCGAGAGGAAACTTAAATTTTAATTACGAACATCGTAAATCGGCTTTAGTGAAATTTTCGAATCTGGTTTTAAAGCCACGAGTGGCCGGTCGGATGACGCCCGTTTATTATATCATTCCCACGAAACGAACGAAGATTTCGAAAATTTCGTACACTTCGTAATATCAATGAGACATTGCGGAGTCGTAGAAATTGATTGTTGAATTCCGGGCGAAATTAAAAAAATAATCATTCTCTGCCGGTGAAAAATGATTTTTCGGGTGTGTTGGCTTTAACGGACCCGTACATTCGATCTTTCTCATCGCTTTGCTTGAGCACTTCAACATCGGCATGCCAAATCTTTTAAATAAGTGAGATATTATCGACATCTTATCTTGCAATTAATTTTAGCACTGACGAGAATTTTCGTCGGACGTTCTTTTTTCTTTTATTATTTTTTTCAGCGATCGTTACGTGAAATTGCTCCAAGCCAATTTAACTAAATACTGATTGCCATTTATTTCGCGAAATATTCTCATCACTTAATTATGTATGTACGTACTAGTTTACTGTACGAATGAATGAAATTGAATTATTTTTAATTTTGTATTTTTCCAAATTATTTCACCGTTTTGAATGGTTGTTATGTAACAGCGAAGAGCGAGACATACCAGTTCTATTTACGTCAATTCGTTTAGTAGGTAATAGAAAAAACCTTTCTTTACTTGCTCGTTACTATTCAACTCTAAACTTACTGACCTTTACAAGGTCATTTGAAGTCTGGTACTCCCACTATTACTGACACCTACTACTACTGGTCTATGATCTTGAACGATAGTGAATTGAGAGTACCGTCACAATTTTAATTGTAATTGTTTTTTATGACTTTCTCCTTCTTTGTGTATTCATTCTGACGGCGTTGGGAATGAATATTACATGGAACTCTCATCGCTTTTCGTGATAGTTGAATAATTGGAATTTCAATGAATTTTAGGTAAAACAAACACTCAATTTTGGTAATAAGATCACCCGAAAAAGTCGATTTGATAGTTTCTATGTGACACTTGAGTCTTTTATTTCCAAATTATATATTAAAATATGCGACTGAAACCTTGAATTAAATATTTCTGTTAAATATAATGTTTAATTCATAAGAATAAGTTGAGTGGAATTTTTGAAAAGTCTTATCTAATTAATTTATTTGAAAATACATCACCGGGTATTTTTTTAACGAACTTCACTCATCTCCTTTCGATACATTTAAATAAAAGAGCAATTTATTGTAAAATAAATTCTCGATTTTCAAATAAACAACCAATTCCATACTTATCAATCACGTCACGTTAACTATTTTTATTAACCATTTCATTTAGATAATCGTTAAAAAATATGATACTTTGTTGTGTAATCTTATTAAAATTTGGAAAATAACCACCTTATCCAGGTTAGTCGAGACTGAATCAACATCGAAAGATATAGAAACAGAAATGTTTAGACACGTTCATTTGTAGGTATAAGTTAAATTATTATTACGAGTATTACTAACCAATATTTTCTACCAACATTATTAAATACTCGAATATTTAAACGTTGAGCTTGATAGGTAGTCTTCAAACGAGAAATTTATTTTATTTTGATTAATATCTTAGCATTCCCAAGTAGCGAAGGAAATATCAATCATGCAACGTTATTAAATATTTTGCAATTAATTTATTCGAAAATGTATTATGTAATACTTCAGAATGACAGAATGCTATTCTTTCTGTCTAAATTTTTGATTTTCACCAACAGACGGAACAGGGAATTGGGTTTTAAACGTAATTGTTTAGCTTAATTATAAATTATAGCGTTCGTTATTCAGTATCGAGTAAAACGTTTTTTCATCCGGAAGAGACGTATAAAAAATGCCAGTCGGCAATCGAGTGTGACAGCGTTATGATATCAATTTATCAATCTGATATTCGTACACTCCAGTTCACAACAAGTTGACGCCTTCAGTGTTTCAATTCCTCCTCTGACGTTCCGCTGCACGAAAGAATACGGGCGTCTTGATATTTTCCGAGTCCAAACCCCCTTTTGTTTGCCTTATTCAAATTAAGATTCTCCCGATAAATCTTTAATTAACTTCTTACAGTATTAAATTTTCGATATTCGATACACCGAAAAATCCAACCTCTATACACGAGTTATAAGAGTTGAAGCAAGAAAAAAATAAATTCTGTATAGCTGAATGAGAACACAAAAGGAAAAAATCGAAAAAAAAAACCGCTCATTGCCTTGACATTTTCGTAGGGATAAGCATTACATATTCAACTACTCTCGAACAATGTGTATAATTAGGAAATATTGAAATTACATGCTGCACTGAAAAGCGGCCGCGGGCAATAAAAATTTTGAAAAAAACGTCTGCGTTTCAACGTTACATTTCGAGGGGCCAAATTACGCTCCTTTAACTGCACGTTAACAGATTTTAGATATGGAGTCGAAGATGGTCCATCGGTGATACGTCGAACGAAGAAGAGGTAGAGAGAATGTACGTTTCAGAGCGCGTGCGTCCTGCATCTGACAGTGGAATGACCCATACCTGATCAGCCGAAAACAAGTTTTTAACTCTTTCAGTTTAAAAGTGCAAATAAAAAATCGAATACCGAATAAAATGATGAATAAAACAGAAGACGTTGCCAAGGAACGTTGATTGTATAGGGATGCAGAAAAACGATACCGACTGTTACCTTACATTCTTAATTGCTTTACAATTTTCAGTGTTTAAGACTCCTCTCATACCTTAAATAATACTTTTTTTTTGTTCCTTCGTTGAGTATGTGTCATAATTTATAATGAACTTATTGCTATAATATTTTTTTCTAAAAATCATGTATTAAAATTACAAATAAATTAATCGAGTGACGTATAAGGGCTACTCACTTAAAGGTCTCTGATAGAATGATAGGAGAACATACCTGAAAAAAAAAACAAAATCATTAAATATACGACTAAAGAATAGACGGTTGTTCAGAATATAAAAGACCACAATTAATCATTTTTCCCTCAAGGAAAATTATCTTAAAGAACCATTTACCAGTAGAAATAACCATCACTAAGGATTAAGCATTATTAAATATATAAATTCATAAAACTGCTCATAACTTAATAGCACAGACCCAATTAGACTTGTTTTTAAACAAAACAATTTACATAACATAAAATATAGAACAATCGTACTTGAGTAAATTGCAATTTATTATACAATTTTTGCTATTAATCAATACGTTATTACAAGCAGTTTCCTTGTTATGTTAATAAATAGATTTACTGTTCTAATCTAAAATAATGAAAATACCTACATAAGTACCTATACATTACAGAAATGAAACCGAAACACCATATGGAATCTGTATATCAACGAAAAAAATATAGCTTATTGTTGTAATAAATTACAGAAATAATAATACGTTTATGTATTACTTTCTCGATTGCAAGAAATCTGTAAACAATATTGGTATGTATAGCTCTTGCACTCGATCGAGTGAACTTTATTTCGTCCATGCTGTATACTCATATAATGAGCCGCTGGGTTTATCTCGTCGATCGAACCGTTCTAAATTGTAGTTAGGCAGTGGTGCTTGGAATTTAAAATAAGGTTTTATAAAAAAAAGTAAGGTAGGAGTGACTGCGGTGAACATATGAAATATCTAGATTTAGCGCTTTGTACAAAACGCTAAATTTTTAAAACTGTCATTAAACGTTACGCCGGTGTAATTTTCAATAAAACGTATTTTTTACGACGAATTACTATGATTTAATCGTTCGCAATAAAAAAATATTTGTTTACAGGCGGGCTGTCGTGTATTTTAATATGTTAAATGAAAATGTTTCAAGGAAATATTGAAGGAAGTCGATTGTATTAGGTCAAGGTTTGTTGTCGAAATATCTTGGCTTCTTGTGTAGAAGTAAAATCAAGATTAAATTCGACTGCGTGAGAATTTTACCAAGAACTATACCACGTAAATTGTTTTCCTTAATTATGATTGATCAACGAGTCCGCTAAATAATTTTGCAAATTATAACACTTGCGAAAAAAAATCAACGATCTTGTAGAAGCGGTTGGAAAAAAATTAAACGAACGTTAGTGATTTTTTTTTCTTTATTAATGTAGCTACTTCTCCGCTTTTAAAAACGTTAAATCAAAGTGATATCTATTTGCACAGCAGGTAAGAAAGAGGGTCTCTCGGGTACAAAAATAATTAATGATTTATATGCATAGTCGTGTATGTGATGTTTATTTAGTTCGCCCCTAACTGACAGCGTGATTATTTGACAAATATTCGAATTTAAATTGTCTTTTACTATTAGAAGATTTTACTTTTACAAGTCCCCCTGTTTAATACGTGCGTTTTAAGATGCAAAGTATTGTTACACACTGTTGTTATTCGATGAAGTATAATGAAGTATAGTAATCAATATAATTTTGAAATTCGATTAAAATCCGGCTCTGTTCTTTCACCTGGAACTAAATGCATTTCTGAAACGCGTAGGAGACGAAGCAAAATATTCCACGCCGGGGCGATTATTATTTAAAACATCGCACATAATCCGTAAATGCAGAAGATGAGACCATTAACAAAAATCCCATTGCATATATTAAATTTAAGCGCTTGACGTTTTCATTTTGTCATTATTATTTCCTTTTTTTAATGAGTCGATCTAATCGATTTATCGCTAGCGAAACAGACCTTCTCGGAACGGATATTTTTAAAGTTTTCAAATTTATTTGCTCCTAATGCACATCTTATCTTTGCGATTTTGTTGCAAGCAGAATGTACTACTATATTTTAATTTCTAATGCCTCGATATCTGTAAGTGCACACCCACTGTATAAGACAAAAACGAATAAATGTAACGTATTTATATGGTAATACAGCCAAATTTATGTCTCAACAAGCAGATAATTGAGAGTGCACGTATCTATTAAATATACAGGATGATCAATTTGCGTGATAAAATTGAATTGAATATGTAGGTATATTGTTATTTAACACATTTATACTAATGTAAAATATTTCATTTTTTGTTATTTTGAGGTAATTATAAAAGAAGTTAGAAAAATAAATAAATAAATAATAAAAGCACCAGAAAATTAAATATTGTAAAGTAAGCGGAAAAGGATAATTTAAATAATGACTCCGATTATATTTAATGGAGCATCGCTTTGAAAGGAGGCTCGTAAAACGTAAAGCACGTTTAGTGTATAACTAAGTGAATAAACGGGTATTAAAAGAAAAGCGAGGCGCACACGATGATGAGGAAGAGCGAAAAACCAGTAAAGTCAATCCGGTGTGGGTGAACACGTGCTTCAGTTGATATTCTGGTTTGGGACAACCCCAGTAGCTGCCTTATTAAAAAAACCTACCTCAACACGCTTTTTGTAGAGGTTTACTCTATTATAACAGGTTCCATAGCTAGTTTTGGTGCTAGTTACAACCATTCAATACACAAATCAGGTTTTTCGTACTCCAACAGTTGTTTGTCATTTATTCACAGAGAGTGTTGTGTATATATTACCATCTTTTTTTATACCGGATTCCTATTTACTTTTTTAATAGCTTTATAAAAGTAGTATGTGCATTGCATTATTCCTATAATTGACTTATTATTTAATGAAGTTATTATTGCGCTTTTCAGATTTGAAGTACCGCCCATGTTCAGCAGACATCTTTTAAATGCAACCGTTTTCTATCATAATTAAGACAGTTGCACAAATGTTGGCCAAGATTTATTGTTATTGAGCTATATTTTAAACGTAACTGATAATGAACACCTCTGCAAGGACGGCGTATATCAAATTTATTAAAACCCACGCTTATATCTAACGAGCCTCCTCTTACATCCGCGGAGTTATATATGCTCCGCCTGATAAAAAATGACAGGCGAAGATTTTTTCACCACTCCTCGCCGCTGCAGATATATGTCCTGCCACCTAACTATAACATTTGCATGCCTTGGCACTGCTGCAATAAATTCCAATTTTCACGCGAAATCATCCGAACCGCCGTCCGTGAAAAATTATTTAAAAAAAAATGTACTGCGGGATTTTATCACCGATTTTACACAATTATCGTATAATGACTTATAAATCATTAAACTTCTCTTTTATTTTTTGAAAAATAAATAATTTTTTTGTTTGATTCAAATGGAAAATGCATTATTGTTGTTATTAGAGACATTAGAGTAGGTAACCGAATAAACTGTAAAACGTGGGTTTTATTGGTGACGCAAGCAATCCAATAAAAAAGCTCGTCCTTATCGCTGAGCCTTAATTGTAAAGCGATAATTCGAGAGGATATGTTACGACGTATATCTCTTTCTGCTCTTAGCCGGTGCTCAATCAATGACCTTAAATTATTTCACTGATACAGATACCACACCCAATATATTCATTTTATATTCAACAGCCCACTAAATAAACAAGAGTGAAAACCAATTAATGATACCAGTCGGCACGGTGTGGAAAAAAAGTACAATGTGAAGGGTGATTTCAAAACTACGGCGTGCAGTACCTACTTAGCGGATAATCACTCTTGTTACTTATTTTTTTTATTCGCGGACTTTCGTGAGATATGCATCAATGAAAGCGGCTTTAAAAAAGCTGACGGGCCATTTGCAGTGCCTCGCATTTTACGCGCTATTTTAGCAAATTTAAAATTATGATAAGAATTATTTCGTCTGTTATCAAAAGTTAATTGAGATTAAGCGCCATGATATTGAAGCCGCTGTAATTAGCTACAACTTAAAAGTAAGTGCTCCGACAGAAATGACACTAAGTACGGTGCTACGGCAGGTTTTTGCTCATTTGCAAATATAAAGTGGAGAAATAATGATGCGAAATTGTCGCGTATAAAGTTCTAATAATAAAACAAATTTATTTGTTATTCACCTAAGAATAACTTCATTTAGAGCCTTTTAAATGTCGACGGTCATAATGTCTGTATCGATTCGCTAAAAAAATATTAATGAATATTCTATTTAAATGCAAATAAAATTGTTTATTATATTTTATGATCATTATAAACGATGCAATATTACCTATAGATTTGCATATCGCGATGATTTTATTTTGAATATTTCACTTCTTCTGTATTTTATTGCCGTTCAGACGTAAATTCTTTCGTCATCTTCCAATTATCACCGTTTCTTCAATTAAACTCGATTTTCGATTTTAATTCAAAACCTTTAGCTCTACCTCATTAGTTGATTTATTCTAATTGGACGCTTGAAAACGATATCTGTTTAATTAGTTTTTTTTAAACACTCGAAAAATTCGATTATAAATATTTTTCCAACTTTGTATTCCTTACAGCGTCTTCTCGTTTTATAGCGTAGCTAAATAGCTACTAATGTCCTTGGATATTTTCTAATCCTGTATATACTATGTTGAATGCTTATTTATAGCGCTATAAAATACTGGACACTCTATAAACTGTATCAAAAACGAAACAATTTTGATACCAGTTAACATCAATCTTTTTCGAAATGTATATTCTATTATCTACAAATGTGACGGGAGAAAATGTTCAACTATAAAAATTTATAGTACCGTTTGTTTGAAACTATAACTATGATCTAGGACAAATGCAATAGGCGTAAGTCTTTGAAATTTGTTATTTTCTAAGGCGGTAAGAACATGCATTACGTAGGTACAGCAAGAAGAACGTTCTTAAAACCTCTTCGCCATGGCAGGAAATTGTTTTACAGGGTGCACTCAAGTAGATAACTTAAATCTGGTGTCTATTGAGTTGTAACATTACCCAGATATCGATTTAGCTGATATATAATTAAGGTTATTTAATTATAGATTGGTTAATTGATAATCAGCTCATTAGCTCATAGTTTTTTGGTTCATTGATTAACCAACGCTTTGATTGATTAATGGCATCACCTATTATTTTTAATTAAAATAAGT